CATTATTATTTTATATGTGCGAGGACAGTTGTTCTTTATTTGATGAGGGGCAGCATCTTCATTCTTAGATGTGGGGGAGCTGATTTATCCTATGAATCTGAGGGAGCAGATTATTTCTTTGAGTCGGGGGCGACAGGTTTATTCTTTGGGTCTGGGGGGGCAGGTTCCTTCTTTGGGTCTGGGGGGTCAGGTTCTTTTTTTGGGTCTTGGGGACCAGGCTCTTTCTTTGGGTCTGGGGGGGCAGGTTCCTTCTTTGGGTCTGGGGGGGCAGGATTCATCTTTGGATCTGGGGGGGCAGTTTCTTCCTTTGGTTCTTGGGAACCAGGCTCTTTCTTTGGGTCTGGGGGGGCAAGGTCTTTCTCTGTAGCTGGGGGTCCTTCGCCTGCTGCACCTTTAGGTGCATTGTCTGTAGAGAAGGTGAGACGCCAGTCAGGATTCACCCTCCTTCCTCTCTCTCCCCAGCCAGGCTCACCAGAGACCAGCTCTGGGCCAGGTCCCCACTAAGGCAAAGATTTGCAAATGCTTGTCCCCCCGAGCCTCTAGGGCCCCTTGACGGGCTGTAGAGATGGGCGCTGGGATCTGAGAGTCCTGTATAGAGGGCTCCCGGTCCTCTGCTGGGCCTGGACACCCCGTCACTCCTTGCCCTGGATTTAGTGCCATCCATGAGAGCTTCACATTTTCCTAGTTTCTCTGGGGAGGAGTTCATGTAAGCTCTTGACCAGCCCAGTCCTACCCAGAGAGAATTCGGGTTTCTGAGTCCCCCATGCACCACACAGAGAACTACCACTGAGGAACTGGCCCAAACCTGGATTCAAACACCCCTCCCCAAGCTCCTCCCTCGCCTCCTGCCCCAGCTTGGCACCTGTTGGTGAGCTCTGGATTCCCAGCTCCGCTGCTCCGTTTTCTGTCGCCATGAGGTAGGGAGGCGTCCGCTTCCGCTTGTCTAACTCAGGTCTTTCTAGCTGCAGAGAGAAGCGTGGGGTGTGTCAGGCGGTGGGAGTCCTCCTCTTGTCAGGCCGAGAGGCCAGGGCCAGCTGACTGAGGGGAGAGAGGTACCTGGAGCAGAGAGGGGCAACCCGGTGCCTTCTGTATGGCAGCGGCTGCCCAGAAGCCGTCCTGGGGCAGTTGTAAGGGATTGGGCCGGGTGGGCAGAGGCGGAGGCAGGGGCGCAGGCAGGGGAGGCGGGGACGGAGGAGAGGATCTCTTACACCAGGGGCCATGCAGCTCGGACTGCCACCTCCTGTCACTCTTGGCCCCCATTCAGAGGACACAGCATTCTTCCCACGGACCGACGGGAGGGGGGGACGGGGGCGGGGGGGGGGGAGAGTGGTGTTGGAACAAGCAGAAGAGAAAAAGGAGGGGGCACCTGGGGCCCCGGGGCACGGGGCAGCAGCCTTTGCCCAGGCCTTGGCTTGAACTGGATCAGGGAGGGGCCTGGACGAAGAGGGGCTCTCAGGCAGGGCTGAAGGGCACGATCATGCCCAGACTGGGCCCTGGCTCTGCCCACCTGCATCCCACATGTCCTGGGTCCCCCGGAACCTGGTTAGAGCCACACAGGCCCAGAAATAATCACCCTGACCCCAGTGCCCAGCTCTGTGCCCATGAGCTCTGCCTGGCAATTGGACCTACTTAGACCATCTTTGGGTAAGAAATTATCTCGGAGGCTCGTGCTCAACATGCCCATGGGCCTAAAAACCTTTTCTTTTGAAAATGTCTTTTTTGAATCATTGATCGGCTGCCTCCTGCATGCCCGCTACTGGGGATCAAGCCTGCAATCCGGGCATGTGCCCTGACTGGGAATCGAACCATGACCTCCTGGTTTATGGGTCGATGCTCAACCCCTGAGCAACACCAGCCAGGCTACTCTTTTTTTTTTTTTTTTAATTGATTTTTTACAGAGAGGAAGGGAGAGAGATAGAGAGTTAGAAACATCGATGAGAGAGAAACATCGATCAGCTGCCTCCTGCACACTCCCTACTGGGTATGTGCCCGCAATGAAGGTACATGCCCTTGACCGGAATCGAACCTGGAACCCTTGAGTCTGCAGGCCGGCGCTCTATCCACTGAGCCAAACCGGTTAGGGCCCCTTTAACTTTTTTATTTGAACCATGAACTACGTGAACAGTTTACTATTCAAAGTGAGTGAATATTTTTTAATATATTTTTATTGATTTCAGAGAGGAAGGGAGAGAGAGAGATAGAAACAAAGATGATGAGAGAGAATCATTGATCAGCTGCCTCCTGCATGCCCCACTCTGGGAATTGAGCCCACAACCCCAGGCATGTGCCCTGACCGGGAATTGAACCATGACCTCCTGGTTCATAGATCAACACTTAACCACTGAGCCACGCCGGCCGGACTGAGTGAATATTTTTTTAGGTGAGAAAATGCTGAGGAGGTTGGTACTGGCTAGAAAAAAAACAGAGTTGGAGCTCCTTCCTCACTCTTGACAACTTTTGCTCTTCCTGGCCCTCCCCTCCTCCATTTCTCTCCTCAATGTCCAGTTGACAGCCTGCCTCTTCTAGAAACAAAAATAATACTAATCCTATCTAGTACTTGCCACATGTGTCAGGCCTTGTTCTTGGTGCTCTTGTGTTGATTCACTCACGTGATCTTTAGAACAATCCAATGAGGTAGGTACAACTTCAGATGGGTAAACTGAGGCACAGAGAAGTTAAGTAATTTACTCAAAGTCATTCAGTTTGTAAGAGACTGAGCTGGGACTTGAACCCAGGCTCTCTGAAGGGAAGGGAGCTCCCTTTTTTTTGAGTGCTTATTATTATTAGCTTTCTCCATATTGTCTTAAAACATCATCTTTTTAAACAAATATATGTTTTTATTGATTCCAGAGAGAGGAAGGGAGAGGGAGAGAGTGAGATAGAAACATCAAAGATTAGAGAGAATCATTGATCAGCTGTCTCCTGCACATCCCTTACTGGGATTGAGCCCACAATCTAGGCATGTGCCCTGACAGGGAATCACACCATGACCTCCTGGTTCATGGGTCAATGCTCAACCACTGAGCCACACCAATCGGGTTTTTTTATTTTTCCCTCACCTGAGGAGTGAGGATATTTTCCCAATGATTTTTAGAGAGAGAGGAGAAACATCGATGTGAGGGAGACACATCAATTGGTTGCCTCCCGAATGCACCCCAACCAGAGGCGGGATCAAACCTGCAACCCAGTCATGTGCTCTTGATGGGGAATTGAACCTGTGACCCTCCAGTGTGCAGGCCAACACTCTAACCACTGGGCCATGCTGGCCAGGGCTTAAAACATCATCTGATAACTCTGTGGGGAGCTTTCTTCTTGTTTTCTAGATGAAGACAGGGAGATCCAAAGATTGAGTGACTTGCCATGGCCAGTGTGGTTCAGGTGGTCGGGCGGCATCAGTGCCCCAAAGGGTTGCTGGTCTGATTCCTGGTCAGGGCACATGCCTGGGTTGCAGGCTCGATCTCCAGTAGGGTGTGTGCAGGAGGCAGCTGACTGGCATTATGCTCTCACCTCTCTCATGTAGATGCTTCTCTCTCTCTCCCGCTCCCTCTCTAAAAATCAATTTAAAAATATATTTTGTAAATTGAGTAATTTGCACAAACTCACTCCACAAGTAAGGGAGTCCAGCCAGAAATGTCCTTCTTCACAACCCAAAGTTCTCTTTCCTCCACAAAATGTCCCCGCTGGGGCCTCAGCATTCTGGAGGTTGAAATGCTTCCTGTCTGCACCTGCTATTGGAAGCCCCTGGCCCTCCACTTGGTTGTCCCCGTAGCAGATTCTGGTTTAGCTTGGAATGCTGGACCTCCCTCCTCTGGCCTCCTTCCACTCCAGGTTGATCCCACTGTTAACACGGTCTGGGAGCCCTAGAGGGCAGGGGCTGTATGATGCTCAAGGGTCTGGACTGGGTTGTGGAACTTCTCTACCATGATGGCGCTTGCTGACATCCTCTTGTTATTAGTGTGGTTGTCAGTGCCGCTCACTTATTGAGGGCCCAGTAAGGGCCAGGCCTGACTCTGCCAAAGGCTTCACTCCAGCTCATTGGATCCTCACAAGGGACTCCAGGGGCCAAATGTTAGACCATTTCAATGGCGCAGAAACTGATGCTGAGAAAGGGTAAGAGGCTTGTCTCTACGGAGTAGCTTCAAATTTCCCAGATTCAAATCCAGAGCTGCCTCCTGATGAAACCAAAATCCAGGCTTAGACAACATAAGGGGCTTCACTTGCTACCTTTGTCACGGTTATGATTCCCAAATAATAACTAGCACTTACTGAACTCTTATGTAAGCAGGCCAGACCCTGGATAAGCAACTACATGAGAGTCCTCAGTTCAGCTCGTACAGTCTCCGTGGTTAGGAGCTCTGTCAGCCAAGCTGAGACTAATAACAGGCGTGGGCAAATGCCTTTGCTTGTCTCCTCATCTTCCTCACGGGGGGAGGGATATAGGAACAGGGCCTGGGTACATAGTAAGTGCATTATAAATGTCAGCTATTTCAACCCCATTTCAAAGGTGTGACAGGAAAACTGAGTCACAGAGCAAACTCACAGAGTTGGGTCTGAACCACCTAATCCAAGGCTCAGCTCATTACCACTCTGCCTATGGTCTCTCTCCCGGAGTGGCTGGGACCGTTTAGCGAGCACAGGTATCAAAGTGCTAGGCACTGTACGACCTAGAGGTCAATGGGGGTTGGGGGGACATATGTCCCCGCCCCCAACCCAGGCCTATTGTCTATGTCCATTGGTTATGCATATATGCATACAAGTTCTTTGGTTGATCTCTTCCCACCCACCCTCCCCTGCCTTCCCTCTGAGGTTCCACTGTCTGTTCCATGCTTCTGTGTCTCTGGATCTACTTCGTTCATCAGTTTATTTTGTGGGGTCTCCATAATGATGTGGACATCCCAGGTAGAGGGCTCAGCTGTCCCTGCAGGCTCCTTCGTGTTCCCTTCCAGCTGGGATGAAACTGGACTGGTTCCGGATCCACAGGATTGCAGCTTCTGGCCGCCCAGGCTGAGCTCAGCGTGACCAGCTGCTCCTGGGAGTCCCTGAGCTTCTTCTCAGCTCTCCCTTGGAGGCACGGGGGTGGGGCATGGGGAAACCCCCTCCACCAGCTGGGGGCTGCCAGAGCCCCTGCCCACCCTGAGAAGGGGCTCTCCCACCCGGCACCAGCTGTACAGCCACCCTCTTTGCTTCTACAGGGCAGGGCAGGAAGTGGGGCCATGCCAGAACCAATTAAACCTGCCAGGGGAATTAAGGTCAGCAGGATGCAATTATGCCTGTTGGATTTAACAAGGCCAGAGGGAAGTTCTCTCCAGCCAGAGTTCACGGCTCCTTAGGCCTCTTGCCCTGGATGGCTCTGCACTCCAGAAGCCTGGGCTCCCAGGCTCACCCATTTCTGGGAGATTTCCTTGGGAGTGGAGGGGTTAACTCCAGCCGGGCACTGCTTCCCTGGCTCTTGGGATGAAATTAATCCAGCCAAGATGCTTTTAAAAGGACCTGCTCAGAGGAGACATTTCCCAGCCTCACCCTCTCCCTGCTCGGCTGTGATGGAAAATCTAGGGAGTTGAGCAATGACCTTCTGACTCTAAAGGGAGCAGCCAAGTCCCCTCACAGCTTTCCTCTGGTCCTGGAAGGGGAGCCGCTGAGGGATGTTTTCTCCTGCCCTCTCCCACCTTGGGCCCCGAGCCCAGGGCTGTGGCATAGCTCTCAGGCCTCTGGGAAAGCCCTGGGTCAGACTGCTGTCCTCAGAGCAGTATACGCGGAGGTCTGTACGCACTCTGTATAGCCAACTGGACAAGTGACATGCTGTTCCCTCCCAGAACTGTAGAGTTTTATTGCAAAGATAACTTACCGAGTGCTCTCCTGTCTGGCAAGGACTAAACCGGGTACTTTGGGGACAGAGAGATGGGGTTTGGGGAAAAGAAGAATCACCACACAGTGCCTTTTAGGTGAAAACAGATTGTAAAATCATCCATGAGTTTGGGATCCTTTTTGTTAAAAATATTTAGAGAGAAAATGCCTGGAGGAATAGAAATATGCATATGAACAGGTGTGGAGTATGGACAATTCTCACTCTTTGAATTTTGCAAAATTTTTTTGAAGTGACCATTTGAAATTGAGCAGATTAATAATTCAAAACCTATCAATATGGACTCAGATTTCTACAATTCAAGGCAGAAAATGGTAGGAGCGACACACGAAATAAAAA